ATCCTGAAATCCCCTCTGTCTTCTGGCCGTTGGCGTGAGTGCGCGAGGCGAGGTCGTGGCAGGTCGAGCGAGCCTACTTGCCCACCGTCTGCACGAGGGCTTGGTACTCCTCGTGCAGGTCGGCCGGAATCAGGTACTCCAGGCACTGGACGAACACGGGGTTGTAGAAGCAGTTGCTCCTGGAAGGGAGACCATTCGTCAAGCAAGGAGGGGCTTCTAGTGGAACGTGATTTATGCCCCGAATATAGTTATATATAAATAATGATTAGAATTATTCAAGTGATGACAACTATAGCAATTATTAATACGAGTAGTTTTTCGGAAAGCCAGAGGGTGATAGCTTATTTGACACTTGGTAAGCAGTACTTTAAAACACTTGAAATGGGGCCTAGAAATGGCGTAAATGTATAGGAATACTTGAGAATTTGAACCTATTTGAGATCAGAAAACAGGGGGATTACGAGAGACATCCTCCGCACATCTGGATGATCTGGAAGGAGGCCCCACCTGCACTCCGTGGCCACCTTGGGCTCGCGAAACACGTTGTAGCAGTCGTCGCAGAGGCGGCTCAGCCTCCCCAGGAGCTCCCGGTCGTAGACGCCCGTGCAGGAAGGGTCGAAGTTTGCTCGCTTGCTGAGGCTGCGGCCCCTGATGAGGGAGGCCACGGGGGACGACGACTCCTCGGCGGAGCGAGCCCAGGTCGTCGAGCACGCCACGACCACCACCAGGGCCACGGCCATCTTGGAGGAGAAGCACATTATTACAAGCATTTCTTTTCTAGTGTTATCATTCCCTGCACTCCTTTCAGAAATGGAAGTAAATACTGTAAAAACATAATCGGTTCTTAAAAATTCATAATAATTCTTTATAAATATTTATTACCTCTGAATGATGTGATCCTAAAAAAAAAATCAAGAGGACCGATTTGTGAATGATATGATCCTCAAAAAATCAAGAGGACTTCGATTTGCAGGCAGGAGAACAAGCCAGTATTACTCGTACAGAACGCCTTTCACTAAGGGAGCGAGCGACTTACCAAGCGAAAGGCTGTCATGGCGAGCAGTCTGTGTCAAGAGTTCAGAGTATGAGCAGCTGGCGACTGTGACTGCGACCTCGAAGGCAGTTGCTTTGGGACCAAAAGGCCGCTGTGCCCTTTATATACAAGCGGTGCGGCTGATCCTGTGACGGGGCGGGGGCGCGGACCCCGAACGCCGTCAATCAACCCCGATGGAGACTTTTTGGTGCAGAAGTCCGTCAATCATGACGTCAGCGTTGGATTGCCGGATGTCACCCACGGACGCTCTCTGGGTACTTCAGTAGAACTCGTCACATATATGCACACCTTTGGATGTTTGGAGTCCAGTTTATGCATATAAATGCATATATATATATATATATATTATATATATATATATATATATATATATAGAGAGAGAGAGAGAGAGAGAGAGAGAGAGAGAGAGAGAGAGAGAGAGGAGAGATACATATATATAAACACACACACACACACACACACACACACACACACACACACACACACACACACATATATATATATATATATATATATATATATATATATATATATATATATATATATATATATATATATATATATATATATATATATATATATATATATAATATATATATATAATATATATATATATATATATATATATATATATATATATATATATATATATATGCATTCTCACATAATATGCTCCCTTGTTTTAGATATTTGGTGGAAAAATGTTCAGTAGGTTTCATCATATATTTATTGAAATATATTTCTGACTGGTTTTGCTCGGGAAATTTTGCCAGATTACCTCTTGAGCAACTACAGCAGCAGCTATTTTGTTGTCTACATTTTGGTCCAAAGAATTGTTATACATTTTTCTAAACTATTTCTGGTTGTCATGTTTTGTGTTGCCGCGATCTTTTCAGTATTTAGTTAGTAGCATCATAGTTTGCTGCCTTCTCTCCGAACGCTTCCTGACACTAGAGGTTTTCTTTTCGAACTAATGGTTAGGATCTATAAACGAGGGAATGAAAAGGGAATTTATGCTTATCAGTCACTTTACTTCTGTATTTGTGAATTGTCAGTTACACAGTGAAGAACATCTCGACGCTATTCTTCCTTCTCAAACGTTTACAAAACAATACAAAGGAAACTAATGAAAGAAATTCATCACCATCTGGCGGCGAAAGTCATCAAAGAAAATTCTTGAACCGGCGTCTGGCTCTACAAACCACCTTCTAGCTCTGAGAAACCACAGAACAGCTCTCAGAAACCAGCCTACTTGCCCACCATCTGGACGGCGGCCTTGTACTGGTTGCGGAAGCGGGGCGGAAACAGGTACACAAGGCACTGCAGAAACATCCGGTTGTAGAAGCAGTTGCTCCTGTAAGGGAAATTACTCCTCGTAGATGGTGTGTTTATGTAGTATACGATTCAAATATTTGATATCAAAGAATAATGAATGGCCATATTTCTTTGTAGGAAGCGTCGCTGATTTCACTGATCAAACCCTTCTGCTTCAAACTGACATTAAGGTTTCCTTCTCTGGACAGACTATTCCCCCCTCTGTGCCTAAGCAAAGCAATACCTGCAGCCGGTGGCCACGTCGGTGTCGCGGAAGACGTTGTAGCAGTCGTCGCACACGCGGTTCAGCCTGCCGATGAGCTCGCGGTCGAACACGCCCGTGCAAGAGTGGTCGAAGATCGAGCGCTTGCGGAGGCTGTGATCCGCTGCGGAAGAGAGGAGCGAAGGCGACTGCGGGAAGGAGGGAAGGAACTCCGACGTCTGTCCTTCCATCTCGAGGGAGCGCTCCCAGGAGGAGGCACACGCCGCGGCCGCCACCAGCAGGGTCACTATCGCTGCTGACCACATCTGAGGACGGTATGAAAAAGTCTAGCTGATTACCTCAACTTCAGTCAACTTCTCGGCGTCTTGGTTTATGTATATTTCGAAAATAATCAGGCTGAAACAGCGTCCTAGTACCTCCTATTCAGCGCCCTCGTATCTCTCATTCAAACGGCATCCAAGGCCAAGGCACACAGCTCCATCACAGCCACTCACACGCACTCCGCGATCTTTCCGCGATGTCTCCACTTACCCTTCGAACAACCTTCTTGCCCAACACACACACCACTCGCCACGAGCCTTAGGAGTCCTTACAGCGGTTCCTGGCGTCTTCCTTGAGATGCTGGCGATGGGACCTGCCTCGAGATGCTGCAAGAGGACCTTCCTCTTCACTGACGATGCATCAAGACGTCGCTGTCTTATATATGCGGCCATCAAAGCTCCAGCGCTTACTCGGGCGTGGGAATAAAACTCGGGATCAAACGCCCGTGCAGTAACCTCTTGAACCGGTTTACGTCGCAGTAATTCATCTTGAGGAGACTGGTTGTAATGATCACTCTTCCGAGCTGTGTTTTTCGAATGTGATCTCCGTTCGCCTCAAACGCAACCCGGCGACAGTGCAGGGGTGATATATTACGATCTGATATGGAAGTCTCTCGAATATAGCCTCGAGAAATCACGATGCCTATCAAAGCAAATATAACTGTCATTTACTTTACGCAATAAAAATCCGATATAAAACCATGTACCACTTTGTTTTGCATCCAAGATGGTCCTTTTTGTTATGCTCATCATCATATGATAATCATACTTCATACTTTGGCACCATGAGACTTTCTCAATCAGTGATTGGCTCAGTGATAACCGATGCTTGGGAAATGATGGGGATATTGACAATAGTGATGATGTATTAATAATATTGCAGCAGTAATGATGATGATGATGATGATTATAGTATTAATGGTATTGATAATAGTAATGATGGTAGTGATAAAGACAATGACAGTAATGATAAGATTCAAAATATTAATAATGACAATAATAATACTATTACTAATACTATTACTGACAATTATAAGAATAAGAATAACGATAATAATGGTAATAATAAAAATATTGATAATGATGATGATCATAATAATAATATTAACAAAAAATTATAACAAGAATGATAATTAAAAAATATGATAATAATGATAATAGTAATAAGAACAATACTGGTCATAATTATAATAGTAATGATAATGATAACACCAATGGCAATAGGAATAATAAAAACGATAATAGCAACAACAATAATAATAATAATGATAACGATGACAGTGATAGTAATAATAATCGTAGCGGGGCGTAGACCCAGTAGACTTTAACGTGTCTGGTTTCAGACACGTGTCTGGAGTTCGGGCTTAATGGATGATTCTTCCATCACCTGCTAGCAGGTTTGATAGTGAAGATTCTTTATTTTTCATTTGAAATTATTTTTCCGCTAATATTGCTGTATTGATGGCATACTGTAAGGATGTGGCTTATTGTGAGGAGGTTATTGCAGTGGAGGCACACTGGAGGGAAGGTTCTCTCTATGTAGGGAATGAAGTGTGTGTCTGGTGGCACTGACCCTGAGGTGGGCCAAGACCGCCTCCTCCCTTCTGTCTTTCCCGTGGGTTGTATCCCGCAGTTCTATATTTTGTCTGACTTTGTTGGTCAGCTGCAGGTTGGACTACTCACTTTGCCATTAATGTATTTTTGCTTTTATAAGAGACAAAACACCTGCGGTCTGAACGGAATATGTTTGGGTCTTTATTACCAGTTGACCCGGCTAATCTGTTAGTCTGCTCACTGCCATGGATACCAGAGTGGCCTGATACCCATATCAGCTTTATAGATTTGTTGGTAATATGTAGCCTACGAATGATATTACCCAGTAGCTAATTTTTAGTGGTTTCTGATAATATAATGGATTTAAGTGAACTTAATGAATTGGAAAAATTACCATTTTATCGTGAGTCGTCGATAGTGTAAAATCTAATGCTTCATCGGAGGCAAAAAGCTCACCAATAAAGACTGATGCAAGATTCGACAGTCTGAAATTTAGTTCACATTCCTCTATTTTGGAGCCGTCGGTATATATATGAAAAAGGGATCTCTCTGAACTTCTGGCGTACCTCCACCTCCACATATTATTATCAAAGATTTCCTATCAGCTCCCCATTTCCAGAAATACACTTAGTAAACTAAATATTCTTTGACATTTCTTTGATTGACCGATGTGGTCTTTCCAATCTAGTCTACGATCAAAAAGTAGACCGAGAATTCAAACCTGTGAAATTGTGTTATTAATATTCACTGTAGAGACAAAACTTCGCCAGGAGTCTCCTTTAGCTCGTCTAATTGTTCTACGAGCCCTAGCTCTTGCTTGTTTGTAGTTGCGAAAGCTCTCGTTACTGATGTCATTTTTGAAAAGCCTGTAGGCCTTATTACGTTCACTCGTAGTGCGGTAATTTGGTGTCCACCATGGAACTCTATGCTTAACGCTATCTGTCGAAGTCTTGGGAATGGATATCATTGCTGCATCTAATATACATTTTTAGACATTACTTTATCATCAGTGGTTTCTCCAAGAAGTTTGAGCATGACGCTCCTTAAGAAGGCGACTCAGTCTGATCTTTTTACGTTAAATTTAGGTGCTGAAGGCGTTCTCGTTGTGTCGCATGAATATCTAATACAAACAGGTAAGTGATCGCCTCCCAACGACTCGTCAGTGGTGTGCCACAGGCACTTGGCTGCTGCTGTTGAAGAGACCAGAGATAGGTCAATAAAGCTCAAATTACCGGTATTATCGTCTACCCGCGTCGGACTACCATCGTTCAGAGGGACTAGATCTGAATCATTAACAAGCTTAACTTCTTGCTCACCTCTACCATCCACCCTCAGGGAACCACATAATGTATGATGAGCATTAGAATCACCTAAAATTACTTTATTTTGTGGCAGACTACCCTGTACAGCAAAGACCTCATCATAAATTTCCACATTATCAGGTGGACAATAAACTGAACATAGAGCCAGATAAGTGCTATTGATTTTTACTTTGCGACAAATTCCAAAGTAGAATCAATAGTCACCTATAAAAGGGAAGCTCTGGTAGATGTACATGGCCTCCATCCCTATCCACTCGATCTTTCCGACACAGATGGCAGTTCTTTAGTGCGAAGGTACAGGCAAAGCACTAGAGAGCGTGGCAAAGTCCAAAATGACTTCTTCACTCTACGACTTTTACGTTGCGAAATCAGAGTCTTCAGACACCAAGGTAGCCCCTGTGTCGCACGACTTACGATTTACTGGTGTTGTTTTTTCATTAACAACATCCTTTACACGAGTGACTATTTCCTTCTCCCAGCCGTGGGTAATTATACCCCGAAAGAGACCCCAAGGCATGGCGCGGAGCAGAAAATATGCAAATAAAATACCTGAACACCAAGCCGATAGTTCGACAATCCAAACAATCAAGAAGAGAGTGGGAAAGGAAAACCGAAAAAGAAAACTATGTAACGACCATCGGTGGTTATCGCGGCACTTCGGAGGCGTCGCCAAGTAGAAAGAATAATAGAAAAAAAAGAAAGGAAAGGATACGGAGAAAATCCGATGATACACAGTTGTAGCAAAAACTGTCTATTACATATTTATAGTATTGTTTAAAAATAAATCGATATCTATTTTGGCTTAGCGACTTCAACGCCATGCAAGTAGCGAGACGGTTTGAAATACGTTGATGATTTTAAAAATAACCAAGTTCACATCAACATACAGTAGTGACCGTCGTTCTTAAATTTGGAATGGACTTAGTAAAATAATAAAATAAAAAGTAGAAAAACGCGGATATATATGCTGCACGTGGCGTACGCGGCGGAGACAATCTCTGGCGGCTCGTGCTGCGTTGGCCGAGGTTTTGAAGGCGCGATCGTCCTTCAAGCAGAAACGTGCGCAGCTGAACACTGCAATAATAGTGATGATACATTGATGATATTGCAGCAGTCATGATGATGATGATTATAGTGGTAATGATATTGATAATAGTAATGATGGTAGTGATAAAGACAATGACAGTAATGATAAGAATTATAATATTAATAATAATAATAATATTACAACTAATACTACTCATGAGAGTAATAATAATAATCACATAATGATGATGATGATAATGATATTAATAACGTTAATAATGATAACAATAATGGTATTAACAAAAATAAGAAACGTTAAAAATAATTATGATAATGGTCATAATTACAATAATGATAATGATCATAATTACAATAATGACTGATCATAATATTGATAATGATAATAAGAATAATAATAGTAATAATAACAATAATAATGATTATAATATTCATTACAATAATAAAAAATGGCAATAATGATTATAACAATGATAATGATGACAGTGATGGTAATGATAATAATAATAATAATAATAATAGCAATGATAATGATAAAATAATGATACTACTAATAATAAATCATTATGATAATGACAGTAGCAACGCTAGTGGTTATAATCACTAGAATGAAGCAAGGAAAAATAAGAAACCACACGAACGTGTCAAAGGCTTAATGCACTGAGTTGTCAGGCCATATCTGTGATAGGACAACCATGGCTTGTTCATGGTTCCCCGTCGCGATGTTGAAGTTGTTAGTTAATTGTGTTAATGCCACCTTCCACTTTCCTTTGTCATGAAGGCAAGCCTTGTTTTGTGACGGAGACCTGGGACCATCTGTGGAGGCGTCCGTCGGTGTCAACGTGAAGTCGAAGGGCGCTCCTCTTGCCATGAAGTCGAAGGGCGCGGCGGGGTAGGTCGATTCGTTGCTCGTCCTCGCCCTTTCTCGCCTCTGTATACAATATCTCAGTCGCCGAAAGATATACTATAAACCTGGCCAAGAGGTCTCCTGTAGCTTGACCTCTTTTCCTTTACGATATTTTTTTTCCTGAAGCGGTAGCTGTCTTGGCTGCGTGTGCCGAATGACTATTCTGTGGATGGTGTTCTGCGTCACTTCATGGTCTGCTCATTCTTCTTCGTGTTGCGGCTAAAGGTGGAAAAGCAATGTAACGGCGACGTTTCGTAGTTTGGCCATCACTTCGTGGCGTTTAATACATGGCAACCTCTTAATGGAATTTAGGGCGATTGAGAGAGGTGCTGCAAGCCTTTTTGCTAGGCGGCATGGGGTGCTCCCGGGCCCGTTGGTGAAGGGTTTCCTTCCTTGTGTGCTCTGATGATTTCTCCGGATCGTCGGGTGCTGCAGACTTCCCCTCTAAAAGAACCTGAGAATTTTCCTTGCTGCTCTGTTAAACTCTAAGGACCTTGCCTCCGCGTTTCTTTTCCTGGCTTCCCCCTAAGTAGGAGTCGGAGAGCAGTACCTCCATTTTTGTGACATAACCGGTTATATTTATAACCACATCGCCGCCACCCTTTCCTGCCGAAGTGATTACGATGGAGTCGTCTCTTGCAAGGTCCTGTGAGGCGTTACCCTGCCAAGTGACAGGCTCACGTCTTTCACATTGTCGATTGCATAGGTCACAACTCTCGCCAGGAATCGTCTCTCGTTATTTTACGACACTGGACTCGATAAAGCTTGCCATTGACAGAGAAATTCGTCGGGCAAAGGGGTAAGGCGGTATTACTATGTTGTATAAATCGATATTGGTTAAGAGTCTGGTTAAGATAGAGCTTTTTAGAACGATCGTTGTCCATGTAAAGTGCCGCAGTTTGTAAATATAGGAAAAGGTATGAAGGGTGAACGGCCTGGGGATCAGCTGTTCTCATAGTCGTCTCCCCCCTCATCCATACCCTCCCCTTCTTCCTCCTGGTCATCGTCATCGTCATCATAACCCTCATAAATATCACTCCCCTTGTCATTATTATCAGCATCATTGCCATTATCAGCATTACCATACTCATTGCCATAATCATCATTCAGTCCCTCAATCAAATAGTCAATTTACCAGTCAACCAACTAGCCATCATCATAATCGTAAACACCTTCATCACCATCATAACTACCATTATCGTCATTATGATCACTATCAATGATACTTGCATCATGAACAATAATGATAATGATGGTAAAAATTATAACAATAATAATTATGATAATAAGAATGATAAAATAATGATGATCATTATCATAACGTTAATAATGATGATAATGATAACAAGAATAATGATAAAATTATAATAATGATAACAAGAAGAAAGATGATAAAAATGAAGATGATAAAAATAGTAGTAGTAGTACTGCTATTATGATCATTATCATTATTATCGTTATTACTGTTATCATCATTCTACTGCTGTTATTGTTGTTATAATTTTTCATTTTCATTATTGTTACTACTATTGCTATAATAGTGATGATAACAATTATACTAATAATGATGGTAGATATAATCATTATTTTATCACTATCATAATTATTATTATAATCATTATTATGAGAATTATTATTATCATTTTTATTTTGGTAATAGTAATGATAATAATGATAATAAAAAATAGCATTAACAACAGCAGTAATGTTAATGTTAATAACAATAATAATAACACACATATACACACATATATGTGTGTATGTGTGTATATATATTGTGTGTGTGTGTGTGTGTGTGTATGTGTGTGTGTGTGTGTGTATGTGTGTGTATGTGTGTGTGTGTGTGTGTGTGTGTGTGTGTTGTGTGTGTGTGTGTGTGTGTGTGTGTGTGTGTGTGTGTGTGTGTGTGTGTGTGTGTGTGTGTGTGTGTGTGTGTGTGTGTGTGTGTGTTTGTGTGTGTGTGTGTACATATATATGCATACATATATATGTGTGTGTGTATATATATATATATATAATATATATATATATATATATATATATATATATATATATATATATATACACAGGGACGCCGTCAGGCGGCCAGGGCCTCGGGCAAAGAACAGGGCAGGGCCGTCAGGGCCACATCCTTTTTAGGTGGGAAACGCCCATTTTCCCTTAAACTTTTATGTTAATATAAACTGAATGTTACTCAAACTTACAATATCACATAAATTAAAAATATATCGCTAGTTTGGCATATGATTGAGGGTATTTTTT